CTTGTTTTAATACATTTTCCCTTAGCTATGACAACTTTTGTATACGATAACAAAAACAGAAATTTCCGATAACAAAGTGAATCATTCAATCGTATTTCCGACCATATCCTGAAATCTTAAATAGGGCAATGTTTTCTCTTTAATTACACATTTGCAAGATTCTGACAATGTCTTATCATGGACAATCATTAAAGTAAGGTAAATCTAAGGATTTTGAAGAAAAAAACTATTTACAGCACTGCCAATTGGTAAAAAACGTGCAAAATATAACAGTTTTGACTTTTAAAAATTCCTCCCAAGTCTAACAAATGCTATAATAATATGTATCGAAACTTTACTTTGTATCCGTATTCATTTATGTTAACAAAAAGCAAAATGAACATTCTGTTTTTTACAGAGTTTTTTTCACAATAATTTACTAACCTATCATAAATTGCTATGTACTAGGGCTGTATCAATATATCGATATATCGATACGTATCGATATTCTTTAGAAAAATATCGTATCGAAAAATTACTTCCAATACATATCGGACAAGCACTTTTTCTTCTAATTATGCTAAAAAGATGGGAATTTTAATCAGCAAAGATTATATTTCACCTTTTTGAATTAAAACTGATCAATGATTATAGATTTATAAAAGAAATAACACAGTTTTTATAGTTATTATAAAATACATAACAATTTTATTTTAACATGTTGATTTTACAGCCATTAAAAGTTTCGATTGGAAGTGTTTTTTTTACTGACTATTGGATAAGAACTTTGAACTGGGTAATAAAACATTAATTTTTTATGAAATCCATGCATTAAATGATTAATAAGCCTTTTTTGATGGACTTGTTTTAGAATCCAATATATCGCATATCGCTTTCAAAAATATTGTATCGTATCGTATCGAAATTTTTTGCTCAATACACAGCCCTATATGTACCGACTGCCCAATAACAACTAAGTAGCCGATTACGCATTGAGCAATGTGCTTTTGTATACACATGTAAAGAGAAAAGAGATCTTAACAATGAAAAAACACAAACATAATTATAGGAAACGGGTCTATCTCTAGAAGGAGGGGATTGAGATTGACTTGACTGGTTATTCAATAGAAAAGAATACTAGTAAACTTAAATTACATGACCGGAACGTCATGGGCCTACGTGAAGACTGCTGTTAAATAATTCGATCGAGTACTTTATGAAATTGTGAAACTGACTATTTATGAATTAACTACGCAATCTTTTATAACACTAGTATTTGAGATTTATAACCTCCTAAAAAAATTAAACATTACACAGAATTTAGAAATTAAAAAACACTACGAGATACATATTGATGTCGTCGGTTTTGCGCCGACAGCTGATTTGTTAGATCCGTTTACCGGAGAGGAAAATTTTTATTTATAGAGTTATTTCATTGAATATTCTAGGCAAGTAAAAAACATGTTTTTTGCCAATTTTTAGGTCACCTGACCTATTGCTATCTGATTGCGTCCGTCGTCGTGCGTCGTCCGTCGTGCGTTAACATTTGAACATTTTCATGGCTTCCTGCAAGGTCACTGAACTAATTTCAACCAAATTTGGCACAAAGTATCTATGGGTGAAAATACAAAAATTGTGAATTTCATGATTCTTGCCCCCCTGGGGCCTGAAGGTTGGGGCCAAAACCATTAAAATTATTGCAATCTTTAAAAATCTTCTTCTTTACTCCTGGACTTTATAGATTTTATATAAAAAGTACATAAGCAGTCAAACCGTTTGCATGATATGGGTGCGTCGATTTACCCAAATGGACCCAAATGGACCCAAATGGACCCAAATGATTGTAGTCAGCATTGAGTCCTCTCCTAAAATTTTGAAATTCATCGCCCCAGGGTCAGGGGTTCTAGTGCTAGGGCGAGGCTAAATTAGTATATGGTGATAATGCATTATTTCTTTCTTCTTCTCAGCTCCTGGGTATTAAATAAACTAACTAAGTACATACTTATGATAGGCAAGAATGCCTCTACCAAAATTTAGAATTTCATGGCCCCAGGGTCAGGGGTTCTGGTGTTAGGGCGGGGCTCTATATATTATATATTGAAAATACATGAATTCTTTGAGAATCTTTTTCTCTGCTCCTTGGTATCAAATTAACTAACTTAGTGCATAGTTATGAGGAGCAAGAGTGCTTCTACTAAAATGTTGAATTTTGTGGCCCCAGGGTCAGGGGTTCTGGTGTTAGGGCGGGGCTCTATAGATTATATATGAAAATACATGAATTCTTTGAAAATCCTTTTCTCTGCTCCTGGGTATTAAATAAACTAACTAAGTACATAGTTATGATAGGCAAGATTGCCTCTACCAAAATTGTGAATTTTTTGGCCCCAGGGTCAGGGATTCTGGTGTTAGGGCGGGGCTCTATAGATTATATAGTAAAAAGTACATGAATTCTTTGAGAATCTTCTTCTCTGTTCCTCGGTTTTAAATAAACTAACTAAGTACATAGTTGTGATAAGCAAGAATGCCTCTACCAAAATTTAGAATTTCATGGTCAGGGGTTCTGGTGTCAGGGCGAGTTCTATAATGATTATGCAGTGAAAAATTAAATTAAATCTTTGTAAAAATTTTTCTCTGTCGCTGGGTATGAAGCAGATGAATTACCTACTGGAGTATATGGTTATGATGAGCAAGGGTCCTAATCTTCCAGAATTGTGAATTTCAAGGCTTTAGTGTCAGGGATACCATGGAGGGGGGGGGGGGGGCTGTACTTATGTACTGAAAATGAATAAATTGTTTGAAATCTGCTCCTTGGTATTTATCAAATATTTTTGAAAAGCAAGGATGTCTTTTCAAAAATTGTTCAGTGTGTGGATATAGGCCTAAGGATCAGGGGTTCATGTGTGGTAAGTGCACTATTAATTATTGCTGAATTTTACTGATAAATTGAAATGCATTTTTTGTTCCCCTACCCTGTCTATGGGTATTAAGTAACCAAGCTAAGCAACTGCTAAATGTATTGTTATGATTATCAATGGTGCATCTTTCAAAATTGTGAATGCCATAGCATCTGGCTTAAACATGAATAAAATTCAACAAGAAAATATTGATGTAACCATCAATTCTCGTCCAGGAAATATATAAAGTAAACAATGAAAATGAGTCTTGATCAACAAACCGCTTCGATATGTGTAAAAAGGCATGCGTCTAATTGATGGAGACGATACTCTCAAATATTTTAAAAAAAACTTGTAGTCGGATAAAAATCAATCAAAAACTATACCATTTTAAACTTGATCAATTCCTAAAGTAAATGTTGGCTACATAAAATATAAATTGTTAGACACAAGCATATCATTTATATTTAAAAATGTTTTAATTTTCAATTTTAGAATATAAAACACGAACTGTGCAGAGTATGTTTTTATCCGAGAAGTAAAATTCGATGTTCTAAAAAAAGGGAATTGTCGTTGTTTCGATAGTTAATGATAAGTAACTTTATATATTAAATATGAAAAACATATATTTTTACAGATTCATTTTATGGAAATAAATATATTATGTATCTTGTAATTTATAAACGGAAAGAACATTCTGATTATCAATCTTTTCAATGTTTAGAAAACCTTTAATTCTACATAACCACTCCCACCCCAATCCCCATACACCAACACTTAAACTTATATGTAAAGAGCAGCCTGGTCCTCCGGGCTGCAATAACTGGAAAGTTGTTGCACAATGCTCAGGTGACCTATAGGGCCCATGGGCCTCTTGTTAACTATATATTCCTAGTGATGTTGAAAATGTTCGCGTTTTTCTTGGACAACCCTCGTATTATGTTTTTATGTACTAGTCCTTAACCTGTTAAGTTTGAATATGTTATAATAGAACGATGTAACAATGGTCTAACATTTTGTACACAATTAGGATTTATACTATTACACAAATATATTTAATTTCATATAAGACAATTCCCTTCACAACAAGTTGTCATCTTCCCCTAAAAAGCCTATATCACTTAGTAAATTGATATGTTAACAAACAGATTTCAAGGAAAGGATGAAATTGACAAATTCTGATGAATTGTAGTAATATATTAGTTTTATTTTGCGTTTACAGATTACAAAGTCATGAGTTTAAACATAAAGAAATTAGAATAAGGATTTTAATGGTTTGTATTAAAGACTTACGGATAAGGAGCACAATTCTTTAAGTTGTCCCAGGAATCCTGCTCTGGATAGAGAGGCTAAAAACCAACACTCATATGAAGGCATAAAAATTATAATATTTTTTAAATAACAGTACTTATAATTTGATTTTATATATCTAAATATTTGACTAAATTAAACGACTCATATTTTCCTCTAATAGCCCTAAGCAAACTATGATAAATATGTTACAATCATTCCCAAATAAAATGAGAAATTAGCCTGAAATAATCATAACCATTTCTATAAGTATTGGAATTCTTAATCTATATTTGAAAAAAAAGAGACCAGACACATTTATAATATCAAAGATAAAAAAAACCCAATTCACTTAAATAATCAATCAGTTGTCCCCAAACTTCAGAATCTTTTAGGGAGGTGAGGGTTGGGTCCATTAACATATAGTTTAAAGAGGTTCATGTAAAATTAAAATTTATACCACATATAAAGAGTACAGTGACTCTCTCTGAGACATTAATTAATATTTTCATGTGTTACATAATAGTTTTTTTACGAGGGAATTTCAAAAATTATGAGAACTGCTTGATAAAACTTAATGGTTTCGGAGAAATTAATGAGTTTGATATCATTGGAAAAGACAGAAAAATATAAACTTAAAACGGTTATGTTTTCATTAAACAGTTCTCAAAAGTTCCCAGATTTTGAAATGTCCCTAGTATAATAAAGAAAGGCCAGCTTTGATGGAGATAATAATAGCAGAATGTTGTTGTTTACAGAGAAATCTCCCTGACTCTAGGAAATCAACACGGGGTGCATAAAAACCACACGAAAAGCCAAAATAAATGTCTGCTGTAAATGAGGTCTTGGTTAGAGTCACAGACATCATTCAGAGTGCCAGGTGTTAGTCGTGGTAATCACATTTCTCATGTATCTTCTGACCGCGTCTGGATCAGTGATAATAAAAATCTCGTCCTGACAAATACAGCAGGCAATGAAATAGATCGTGTTACAGATATAACTAAATATGGTGATGGAGTACACACTGTGACAAGTGACGGCGATTTAATTTATATAGACAGGAAGGGTAACATCACCAAACTGTCTAAAGATGACACAGTAAAGTCACTATTAATACCGAACAACACAGCGCCATGGAGACGACTATGTGTCTACAGCTTCCCCTTTACTGGAGACCTGTTGGTCGGGATGTGTAATGATAATCCAGTGACAGGCCATATAAACCGTTACACTAACACAGGACGACACATACAGACCATACAGCACAACAACAAAGGCCAGGAACTTTACAGATATCCTAGATACATCACAGAGAACCACAATGGAGATGTTGTTGTGTCTGATATGGATGGTGATCATGGTTCTGTAGTGGTGACAGACAGTGAAGGAAGATACCGCTTCTCCTACACAGGTCCTCCATCAGGCTCAGGACTACGGCCATATGGAATCTGTACTGACGCGCTGTCACACATCCTGTTGTATGATTATAACACTGACACAGTACAGATCCTGGATAGGGACGGCCGCTTCCTTTCACAGACAGGCACACTACAACGCGCCATAGAAACAGTAAATGGCCTGAGAAAATGGCCATTTAGCCTGAGTTATGATTATAGCACTCATTTACTCTGGGTCGGATCAAAGAAAAACAACAAAGTGAACATCTATAGTCTTATTTATAAAGTTTCTATGACCGGTAAGTTAGATTGTTGTATTGTGTTAATGTCTCCTAATTGTTTTAAAATATTAGGTTAACAATATGATAACTATTTAAGTGTAATTACAAGTTGTTTATAAATACATGTAATGTATAAATCACTGTTTTATGTATAAATATATTATCTGTTTAATGATTATGTTTTGTTGATTTAAGTAACAAGATTAAATTTAACAGAGCGATACAGATAAATTAAAATAATTTAATCTTACTTGTAACACGTCATTTGATTGGATAAAAGATTTTATCCATTTTGTATAACATAACTTGCCTACGTCACAATGAGTTACGTCAAAAACGTATAACTGCGCTTGACGTTACTTTTAAAATTTAATCAATGTGAAGCCTTATTCTGAGAAAAAAAAATTGTCTCATTGTTTGCACTGAAATCACATTATAAGGAATGAAGCTTATTTCAACTAATATTATACGATATAACAAAACTTTGAGCAGTTTCCCCTACCTCAGTCTTTTTAATGAAAATAGGTAATATCGTTGTTACTTTGGACTTAAAAGAACTAAGCAGGTATAGAATGATGAAAGGCTAAACATATTTCTTCTTTTTTGTATACTAAAAAAAGAGACTTGTTCTTAGGTTGGCTGGCAATCCAAGAGCTTTCTTCTTAATATCTTGAGAACCCTTTGCTTGAAAGAAACCAAACTTACTCCCCTATAAATAGTAGATGACCTTACGATTTTAAGATAAATATCAAGGAGCAAAACTATCTAGACACAGAGATTTGCTAGAAAGACATCAACCCTGGTACACTAGTTGTTATGGAGAAGTGACTGATCTGTTGATTTCAAGGACACAAGGTGAAGGGTTAATGGTCAAATTTGATAAAGGAATACATTGATCATTTAATATCTAATGAACCTTCTGTTTAACAGATATCAACATTGAAATTAATTCCGTTTAAGGAGTAAATGATCTCTTTGGCTTTTGAGGTCTCATGTCAAAGGTCATTTTTTTTGTATGTTTTGTTTGTATGTTGTTTATCGTCCCTCTTGAGAATTTTTCACTTAAATAGAGACGTCACCACTTGCTGGTGGAGAACTGCAATTTTTGTCCTACACTCGGCATTCAGGGCCATTGAGCACTGAGTGATCTTTTACGTGCCAGCAATTATTGCGACACGGGACCTCGGTTTATACGGTCTCATCTGATGGACAGGTCTTCTGGTCCCATAATGGTTTTCGAAACGGGGACATAAGATCGACTCCTTACTTCATGACTCTAGAGCAGACGCTCTAACTACTGCGCCACAATTCGACATCAAAGGACATAAAAAACTGAACTTAGGAAGATTAAATTAAGAACAGTTTGATTGATAGGCATAAAAGTGTATGCACTTGTTTAATCTAGAAATGAGATTGTTTATATTAATTTTAAAGATGTTGACCACTCAAAAACGACATCAAACATGACATAATTCTTTCTCCTTGAGGAGTAAATGATCATCAAAGACATTGAGGAGGTGCGAGGTGAAGTGGAAAGAGCGTCTGCTCTAGAGTCGCGAAGTAAGAAGTTGAATCCTTACATCAAGGGTTCGAATCCCACTGCGGGACGCAGAGACCGGTCCCTCGGATGAGACCGTATAAACTAGTCCCGTGTCGCAGTAGGTGCTGGCACGAAAAAGATCCCTCCATCTTCAATGGCCCTGAGTGCCGAGTAAAGGACAAAATTCGTAGCTCTCCATCGGCAAATGGTAGCATCTCCATATGAGTGAAAGGGCTTCAAATTAAGCCCTTTACTCGACATTGTGGGCCACAAAGCATTGAGAGGTCTTTAGCTTGTTTTGACACGGTTTTGACAGGAACTCCATTTGCCAAAGGAACAAATTTTTATCAAATTATGTTACTTGCGGCCTGGGTTTGAGCCTACGACCTCTCCATCACGGAATGAGTGCTCTATTGATTGAGTTATGGTACTTTGACCGCTTATATGGAGAAAGATATTGAAAATTGAATATTTTGAGAACCCTTTATTTGACAGACATCAAGCTAGGTAACCTAGTTTAACCTTTATGGCTTCACAATGTCAAAGGTCAAGAGCTAGAAACACAGGCACTAGATACAGCAAGATTTGTCAACTTGTGTTTTGAGAACCATTAGCTTTATAGACAACGAATTAAGGAAACAAATTTAAAAATATCCTTTTTTCCTGAGTATTACTCGGTAAGCAAAGTTGCCCACCTCTTCCAATATTATGATTTTAATGGTCTCTGGTTCAGGGGATCTATCTGCTGTAAGGGCAGGACTCTATTGATTATAATGGAAAAACATTTAGTCCTTGGGAATATTCTCCTCTGTCTTTTGGAAATAAACGAAAAAACTAAATTTCACAGTTGTTATAAGCAAGGGTGTGTCTTCCAAAATTGTGAATTTCATGGCTCCTGGATTCCGCTGTTAGGGTAGGGTTCAAAAGATTCTTCAGTTAAAATGTATTAATTCTATGAAAACCTCCTCTGCTGCTTGATATTGAAGAGATGAAATAAATGAATAATATATATTATAGAGCCAAACTAAATGCCATTATATAAAATTTATGTAAATGTTTAAATATAATCTTTGCTCCATGTGTATCTAAGAGGCAAACAGAGTTTAAAATTTGTAATCATGGAAGCATATGATAGTTAAATTGTACTTTTATTTGGTAATTGTTCGAATAAAAAAATCCTTGCATGTAATTAAATTAACAGGGTATTATTTTTATTTGGAACACACAAAAAATGCTAAATATATATATATATAACCATGGTTATTCAGGTGAACATGGGCCTCTTGTTGATATTGCTAGAGTTTGGTGTATATGTCTAAAACCTTTTTTGTGTTTTTCTGTCTGGATATCTCTGCGTACATTTAATGTTTCTTATAAAATTTTAGATCTTCCTCTGGATAACTTAGAGTGTGAGAAGCACCCTAGTGGTACACTGTCCCAGTTCTGTATCCTGTGTGAGGCTGCCTTGTGTGAGATCTGTATAATGACCTCTACTGATCATAAAAAACATGACGTTAGAGATGTTGAGAAATTGTTTCGTGAAATTCACAAGAGAAAAGGTTGGTAACGATGTACAGTTGAAGAAAACCTTTGACAAACTTGAGTTTGTAGAAAAGGTTTGACAGTCTTTGAAAACCTTCACAAAATGATTATTATATCTCCTTTACTGAAGAAGTTTGAAAATTTTGCATCTGAAACTTACCTTTTTTAATACTGTAAAATCACTAATTTTCGTGGGGGTTTCATTTTCGTGGTTTTCAAAGTATGAAGAGACCCATGAATTTGATGTCTAACAAGAAGTTTAAGAATTTTGCATCTGAAACTAAGCTTTCTTTAAGTCCCAGACTTCAAGACCTTGGAGCCTATAACTTAACTTTAATCTTTTATAACCTTTAAC